GTCCTTTGGCCTTGTCCTCGGTTCAGCGTTCACGTGCAAATAGCCGACTTGAGAGGCATGAGCGACCCGACTGGAAACAGTGTTGTTGGTGGCACAGGTGACCGTGGCACACAAAATGCTGCCGAAGCCGTGCAGCCACCAGTCGCTCCATTACTTTACCCACAGCGCTAGTAAGGCTGACTGGTCAGTAGTTACCAGGGTTACTCCTATCCCCAACTTTGGGCAGTAGGACAATGACAGCGTCCTTCCACTGCCGCGGTAAACGTCTTGAGTGAATGACAAATTGAACAGGCTGCACAGTGGCGCTGCAAGTTCATCTGCTAGCTCCTTCAGGATCAGCGGATGCACACCATCAGGTCCAAGTGACTGGTGAACCTTTAGTCGACGCAGCTCCAGGGCCACAGGGCCACCTCTCCGATGGTAAATGGGGCGCATTTCAGCGCACTGTCAGTGTCCAGTAGATGTGCCGGTGTGCTGGAGGCTAGGGTGTACACTGAGGCATAATGTGATGCCAGCATCTCCGCTTTGTCCTCATCTTTTTCGGCTGGTGCCCCATCTTTGGCGAGAGTCGGGAGACCAGGCATTGCTATGGACTTTACGATTCTGCGAACTTCCAGTCACAATTCTTGACTTGACTTGATTAAACCTTTTGAGACTAAAAAGGCTATTATATTTAGCTTATTGGGTCCCAAAATTGAACAAGCTATTATCACATCATGTCACGAGGTAAACTCTTCATGGCTTAAATGCCCATCATTTAATTTTTTTGGTAGCTTTACCATCAGACACATTTTACACTCACTTCTTAAATTGCAGCTCCCCCTCCAACCCCGATTAGACGTACCTTGCTACAAAATCGGCTTGTCTGCTGCTTTGACTCATTCATTTACTGAAATGTAATTAGTTTTCCGTATGAAATCTTTGTACTACATTTTTGGATTGTAAGGAGAACCTGTCGTCGTAGTCAGCTTACATAATAACTGGTGGGTTCCATAAAACTCTATAAGTTGAATGAGGGGACCAAATGCGAAAGATCAATGCTATTCGTATGACCACACCTCAACGATAGAGCGATAGAGCTGTAGAAAGTCGTGGGCTTGGGTTCGAATCCCACTGTGGTTAGTGAACGTTTGACCATTCATAATATTTATGAAAGTTAAAAGTACTCAAACGTAAGAACTTATCAACTTTTCTTGAGAAACTTTGTGCAGAATTGGCACTTACCGGTGTTTACCCCAGCTGATCCAAAAGCACAAACTATATAAATGTTGGCCAAACCGGTACAACATAACTCACATTTCGGAAAAACATTTCAGTTTCCAATATCATACTTGCATATTGATGGTTGTGAGTGAAGTGTGTTCATTCCGAACGACGCGAAAACACTAACAAGAGAAAGGAGGATTCGGGTTTAAATGAGGAAGATGTGAAACAAACAATTGTAATTTGTAATTTATTTTATAGGTACAGAATTTCACCAGATAGACGGTACATTTGCACCACTAAATTCTAATTGTGTATACTACTTGTCAGTGTTTCCAGATGACAAGAATCTTCAGCCCTCGGATCTCAACCTGATAAACCACCGATACACGTTTTAAGCGTTTAAAACAGAAACATCACACCCTTTAGTTCTTATGTCCCTCTTAGTGCTTGTATCCTAAACTTCGTTCAATATATTTGACTTACTGAATTCAGACACCATATTACAACGAATGTAACAAATACTTATCTTAAATTTATTGAATAAAAATGCGGTTGATTTTCCTCACTCTTCTTCTGCCAGTCGTAATTCAGTGCAGACAGTATCACTGCAATCTATCCATTCTCCTTTCCTAACATGCATTCAAGTAATAGAGGGGTCGATGTCGCTGAATTTGTACAGACGTCTTTTACCGTCTTAATAAGGTAAATTTATCAACTTGACAAATTTTTAGCAAATCCTTTCCCTACTGGCGATATCCGGTTATTTATCTTCACTATCAATTAGCTATTCCGTTTCTCAGTTTCCTACGGCATACTAACCTATGGTAATTTTCAATTCAATCCACAATTCAATCAGAATTTCCAAACAGCATGTTTCGAAACCAGGGCCACAACCATTTAGTCCTATTGGTTTGTGAAACGCCTATTCGGCACTCTAAAACCCTGCTGATGGTCAAGCCCGACCTTGTAAGCCACTTGCTCACCGACCTGTTTCATCAAGTAATGTTATTCTTAATTGGCGATAAGTTCAATTATTACTAGCAGTGTTAAGTGAGACCCATAGCTCATGGCATGTCATGGCGATTCTCTGGTGAGACCATGCTCATCCGGATGATTTCACAGATAACTGATTAAACACTTGATCTTCATAAAGGACATTTCAAGCTTTATTAACCTCTTTACTCGATGAACAAACCACCATCATCACGACTACCAACACTACGGTTGCCCAGTTAACAACAACTAACCGCATTTTTCAAATGTGTGAGTATTTTTTTCGGTTGACTAAGACTGAACGACCCATTCAGTTTTCATCGATTGTGTTGTTCCAGTTCATTGACCAAACAACAATGTAGCCACAGCACATTTCATACAAGCGGTAGCAGCAGCAGCAGAAACAGAATCCGATTACACAGCTCATCCGACAGACCAAATGATTTTTGTTTTGGTAGCATATCTTTGCAGCCGCAACAAGGTTTTCCATTTCTTCCCGGTGGTTGAGGCGTGCAACCTTCTGTACCCGCATGCATGTCCATGAATTAGACCGTTTTCATACATTGACTGGTATAGGTGCAGTGAATCGATTTTGTCGTTTGAGAGAGAACACTCGAACGTACTTGTCACATTCTAACTCATTTTGAAGAACCACAAATTAAAAAAACAATAACAAGTCCTGCCATCGACTGAACAATGGACTATCAACATGACTTATGGTGAATCCGCTAAGCCCGCAGAGCTTATTCGACTGGAACAATTTTACTCATGCATTTGTTGTTAGAATACGTTCTTCTGGTAGTGCTGTTTTGCGGGGACTGAACATCTGATTTGCTAAAGTGTGATGTGCTTTTCGGGCCGAGTGATACAATTAGGCATTTTGTTTCCGTTAGATGGTTATGTGTAACAGGCGACGGTTGATTGATCACTAATACACAACCCGTATGCATTTATCTATCTCATTTGACACACTGATCGATTTTATGACTGCTCGAACTGCACCATACACGATTGTGATTGCTGCGTTCGTAGCAACGTTATGAAATGACGATGGTTATACCGTGCATATCACATTACATATGGAATTCGTGTTTCAAGTGGTTCTATATGCCGATGCCAAATTAGTGGTATGTGTGTGTGATTTGAATAAAGCATCAGATTAAAGAAAGCGGCATTTCGATAAAAGCCAGCTTTGTGACCTGGTGGTTGAAGCTTTGAGGAAACCATTTATGTCCGTAACCTGAAATGTATCAAAGCGCTACTACATTCAAAATTCCAGTCCCAATGTGCACTTCATTACTCCATGTATTTTCGATTTCATTCTGTTGCGCACACCGAGAATTTCAAGAGCTATGGAACAGGTGTTTCGGTGTTCACCAGCTTGGCTCATGCCCGAATGGATGTCACATCTATTGATTTTAGTCACTTGGAAACTGAAATCTCAGAGGTTTATGTTGCAAATTTCCATTCGCCCGATTCTCGATAAACAGCCCAGAGAATGCAGGTAATCCATTGGCGAATACAAAGGTTTAAAAATGCTCACTCCTGAGAATATTTCAACAGATGAAACGTAACCACAGAAAATATTTTGGTACTCTAAGTATGTATTTTTATTCCCACACTAAATTTATTTTGTTATCCATTACATTAGCAATAATATGAAGTTAAAGTATGGAGAGGAATAGAGAGGAAGCATGAATGCAATGCATGCATTGCGTTTATAGGCAAAACCAATTAGAGAATAAACTGTCTAAATGAGATGATTACATAACTAAAACGTTGTATAGTGCACATAAAAGATTCTGAATAAACATCCCAAAAAGGAGTTGATTCTTCACTGCCTACCGTTAATGATATACAAATATTTAAAGTTTTTGTGATAATGCTACAAGGCACGTTCTTCACGGCTCTGCTCGATTTGAGTCCAAGGATGAAGTACGACTATTGTGTTCCTTTGAAACTATTTCGTGGAACATCTGACAGTTATATCTAAGGATAGTGGAGGGTTTTATTTGTTTTCATAGTGTACTTCGGCGCGTACAGAGCAGATGAGGCAGTCCCTAAAAACTAAGGAACACTGTACAGCTATTTCCAATTGATTTGGTATTTTCAGCAATGCAAAGCCGGTCTGATCATAGTGTTGTCAGATGCCCAGTGGTTGAGCGTAGTAGTGTAGTACTTCCGTACTTCCTGTGAGGTACCGGCTTCAATCTTCAGTTGGATTCGCACTGCTGATGAGACTAAATCAGGTAAAAACAGATGCACAGAGCTTTCTAGCTTTTCAGTTAACGCCTCATTTACTCAATACACAATAGAGTTCAGCATATGGGCGTATTTAACCTTCATAATGTCGTGTTTGTAGTAGCTCATTTATTCCGTACAGGTGATAGGCACTACGCTCAGTCAGAAAACATGTGAAGGAATTTTATCTACCTTTTAAATCCTTGAGTATATGAATGAAATTTTCGCAACACAGTACTCCTGAGATAAGTTAATCTTGATAGAAGCCAGACCACAATAAATCAATGGTCACGGAATTTTCTTTTTCGATTTCACAAACAAAGATGCATGTCACTCCCAATATCATCAAATTCATCATAAACCAGACGAGCATCAACAGTATGATGTATTTCCCCCAGTTTATCACTATAAACCATAAGTTAATTTAATCACATAATTTGTGTTTCTTCAGAAAAACTGCTTTCGTGTATTACTATTCCTCCTCAACATCATAAATGCCTCCTTGTTTCCAGTCAACAGGATGCTGCCGAATTCCTAACTTGTCTGTTGGATATGTTGCATTCGGAAATGAAACCGAAACGTGACAACTCGAATAATGGAAGTCTGGCCTCCGGTTCCGTTTCATCCTTAACCTCATCCATGGAGGCTGCGGTCCGGCCTGGCTGCTGCAAAAACAGTAATGAGAACGCTGACAACGGCAACTGTGACAACAACAACGGATGCATTAATGCGGATCAAGAGAGTAACGGCAGCAATCACTCATCCCGGGAACATTCCAAGAAGGGTTCAAAGTTGAAAAACATGAAATTATCACTGAGAAAACATTCTAGCAGACGAACTCGTTGCATTGAATGTTCCTCGCGAGATGATCTGAGCAAAACTGAAGCAGCTCGGTAATTTAACTGTGCTTAACTTCAATAAGTTTGGGGGTTTGTGATTTCGTACAGCTGAACACTATTCAGGGTTTGATTAAGGACATATGAAAACGAAACGACGACATCAGTTGAGGTTTCGATACAATATAGCTTCCAGAAGGAAGACACCGGAGATAGTAAACAAATTAAAGATCTACGAGCTCTATTACCGTTTCAGTCGGGTTAACGACTGGCTCGTATTATTGTGTCAAAGCCTGACGGTTCTAGCTGGAGCGTAGCGACATTCCGCTACATTTTGCCTTGACGTCTATTCTATGTACCGCCAAATGGATGTTTTCTCTAACGTGTATTCAATATAAAACACCAAAGTTAAAGCAATCTTGAACTGGGTACGTGTGCTGCACACAACGAATATCGAATAAGTATGGACCAAGACAATTTGCATTCGGACCCCGAAAACTAACAATTGGATCCATGTATATTCACTTTTAGCGTCACATACCAAGTCCAGTTACACTGCGGTTACTGATAAGTTACAGAAAATTAGGAAAACGTTTTGTGTTAAAAAATTGCTTTATTTGATGAAATCCACCACTTAGAGAGACACTTTCATGGAAAGAATCACATAATCAAGATTTTAAAGTCAGTAGAATTAAGTCTATCATATCGTATGTGCTATAGAATGCTCTACAATTATTACATTTTACTATGAATATTCCATGCAGAAGAGAGGCAAATATCACGCACTTAGTCTTTCAGATGACCAATGCGTTGTGAGTGTCCAAAATACAAAAATAGTTAAACTTAAGGTATCCTGCTGTGTAATTTTGATCAGAGGAAGCACAAATACAAACTTGTTGAGTCGAATGAAGCTTTCGATTGACAGTCCAACCGTTCTTGAAAGCGTTTGGAAGAGACTGGTGAGTATAAGTTTTAAAGTGAAAAGAAATTAAAAAAGCTTCCATTTCTACACAAAATTCAGTCACATTGATTTTGCTTGGTTTAACTGGGACTGAATTGCAATGATGGTCGTTTTGATTTATACGATAAGTTATACGGAAAATATGTAAAACACTAAGTTATGCTGTTAAGGCATCGGTGTTTGTTTGCCTGAATGTGAATCATTTGACATTGTTTGCAGATTTGCAGTATGTATCTCCCGCTGCTGGGCAAAATAGTACATTTGATACGGGTATCCTTATAGTTTCTTCGTCATCACTACCATCATTATCATCATCTGAGACAGCCTCGTTGATTCATTATCATCGGTAATCAGTTTTGAGCATAACTGAATTCTTCGTCGATCGTTGTTACCATTAACCGAGTCATCACTATCCGCATCATCTCTACAAAACTCTAGGTGGAGATAAATAAATGCCCATAACAAGACCAACTTTAGTGAGCGGCTTTTGGTATCGTGGGGGTCAAAAAATCTGTGCTGAACTGCTTGATGAGAATTGACTTCATGTTGGTGTCACTATAAACTCGTCAGGTTCATGTCATCCTGTTTTAACACAATAATGGTTACCTAAAACTAAAATATAGATGTTCTCAAAGGCTTTAGGCTAAAGCTTGAATGCAATACAATACAATATAATAAGTGTTGTCGATGCACAACTGAGTGTTGTGTTTGATCTTTTCAGCCACTGTTACATGATATTATAACGTTAAATAAACTTTTGTGAATATGAAAAGGATTCTAACGAAGTTACCACGATAAACAAACGCGAGATCCTTTGTGACTTCACTAATGCTGAAACTGCATATTGTATTAATTCCATACTCTCATTCTTCCTATCTCTCTCATGTGTTTTCTCTTTCTCCTAATCTCTTTGCAGTCAGTGGGAAGAGGACAATAAGTCAGAAGATAGCCCTATCCGTAGTAAGTGGACAATTTGTAAACCGCAAACACGCATATGATTCACTACCACATGGAATAAATCCATTTGTCACTTTACACTGTTGTAATAATGGAAGATTAAAATTTTCACCCCTTCCTTCCGAAATGAACGGGGTTGTGCGGTCAAACTGTTTGATTAAAAATTCTCTCAAACTTAAAAAATATCAAGCACTTTCTGAAACTGACGTGCGAGTTTTCTCATGCTGAAGGAATTAGACATCAACCAACCCATGCATAAGTGCCCTGGAATAGTGAACCATATAAAACCGGAACATCGTCAAATTCGTCTATCACCAAGCTAATACCATTACAATCTTTCAGAATTTTTTCTACATTTTGTCTGCGTTTATCAAGCGAAACCTCGAGGATAATGTTTATTATCACATACTTCTTTCCATTGCAGCAGCAATAACATCTATTTCATTTATCACTTTACATAAGTATTTTCTTAAATCAAAAAGTTTTTTACATTCCACTTTCTGGGTTAATTGGGATCCGCTAGAGTCAGATCCTCGGATGAAATCACCGAATCAAACTGGTTATCCGAAAACTAATCACCCACACCTAGAAGCGCTGTATCTACTTTAGTTGTTTCAAAAGCGGTTTTGATTCCTTAACATAATTTAAAACACAAAACAAAATTCGGTAGAACTTCTTGATTGTTATTGAAAAACCGATTTAGAGTTTAGTTTCTCAGTACGGCACCCTACTAACTTGGCGGTCCGTTTTTCAGAATTCCATATTTTTCTTCTGATTTTTGAGGTAACAATTTACTTTGCTCATTTTTCTTAGCATCAGTGTTCATTTTTGTATTGTTCCTTTGTTGAACTTTCTCATGTTTCTCACAGATACGTTCATGAGTCAGTTGCAGTCTTGTTTAAAGTGTCGTAAATGCAGCCATCAAAAGCTGTGTTTCAGTGTGGTATGGAACCTGGGCATTCCAGTCCCTCATGTAAGTTGGTTCTTCCTTTATTTTATCTTCCTTCCTAAATAAGCCACTGGCGCGCTGAACGTTTCGTTTATTTTAACTTTTCTTCCCAAGTGGGATAGTGCTCGGTTACTCTTAGTTGCTGTTAGTTCTACGTGATTCGTATGTGAGTGACCGGGCACAACTTAAAGGTCAATTAGGATCCCAAAAGCCAACCTTGAAAGCTGCTTCTCATGATCTCTGTCAAAATCGTATTGTGAATTTGATTTCAATCAATGGAAATTTCAAGTGTGTCCGGTTCCAAAGTCTTTATTATGAGGTTTGAGTTCAGTTTAGTTCTTACAAACATGTACCGTGCGCTTTATTCTGCCGGTGTGGTTATTGTCTCATGGCTGCCTATTTGGATGAGAGAGTAAAAGGAAGATTGGAATATTTCAGTCAGCGTCAGAGTAAAAATAAGTAATTCATGAGAACTAAGGTTTCAAGGATATTGAGTAGATGCACGAACACCACTATCCACGGCATTCACCGATCAGGGTGCAGTGGTAAGTTCCACATCTGGATGGATTACTGCGTGTGTAGTTCATTATAGGATGACGTTGGAGCAGTGTTGACTCAACTCCAACTAGGACATGATTGCGTAAACCAGCATGCTTCAGAGACACCACAGTTAATCGAACAGCTCAATTCTTATTCTTCCATGTGAAGCATGCGACATGGATTAGTTTCCTATGAAATATGAAACTGACCACTGTGAATTGTTGATGAGACTTCATTTTAATACCCTCAATTTAATTTTGTTTTCGAGTTATCTATGTTAAACGTTTCTAGAGGACAACCGAGCCCTCAGATTGCGTTATTGTTCTGTAGACTTTGGTGGCACATAGGGCTACTATTTTTTTGAGGCACTGTAATACCAACGTATTCCGGGCTCTTGCAGCGCTTCGGAGTGAACGAATATGCGCGACAAGATGTCCCTCGGCTCGTTTTCTCACGGCGGGAGACGATATGAGGCTTTGCGGGTGACGAACGACGTTGGGGAATGGCGGTAGGGATGGGGGACACGGGTTGGCGAGAAACACTGGCAGACAGGTGTTCCTTGGTTTGGGGTTGAGGTTAAGCCAGCAAGGCAAAGCAAACAAAACGCCATGAACCGAAAAGGCCCAGTGAGATACAAGTAGTCACGATAAAATACTACTGGCGCGGTTGCCAAGCATTACAGCACCAGGAGAATTCCATACTCCCCTAGTTCTGACAATCTTACGGTAAAACTGCTCCTAATTGTATTTGATTTTTAAAAGTTTGGTAAAGAAACCCTTGGCATGGGTGCCGAAACAGTTTAACTGTGAACAATGCAGAAACCATTTTGTGGTTTGGGAAAGTAACTTAATCAACTGTTTCATGGTGGGCCAACGAGAATAATTTTTCGAACACAACAAGGAAGCGTTTATTGCGTGTGACCTAAAATATGGAAGATGAAATATGAATTCGGTAACGATTCAGGAGCTGTGGTGACAACATTTCTTACTATTATAATTTGTGTACGTTCTCCTAGCCCCTGTATGAACCATCGTAGCAAGAATTTCATAGACATTTCGGGCAGTTAAAGAGTCATTTAATTTCCCTCTCGCTGCCGCCGCAGGTAGTTAGGTAAATGATTCATCACCTTTTTACAGTGGTAATAGCATATGATGCAACAGTCACATGAGACGCATGTGCATATATATATATATATATATGAACTGGCAAAAGATTACTGGATACGCATGCCTGACGGGCGGCAAAGACCGTGAAATCGGTCGTGTGCTTACAGAACAATTTCGTCCAGTCATTCACATACTGCTTATTGTGATATATATACATATATATATATATATACATATATATTCGTGAATGTATGATGAAATGAAGCGGCTAGCTTAGCTTCTTTACGCAACATTTTATAGAGGTAAGTTAATTAAAGTCGAACCTTAATCGTTCAGGTGAATCAGTTGGCAATATTCAAAAAAAGGCAACCAAGCAACCTAGGATGCGGTTGTTAGTTGTGGTGATGCTATGCATGCTAACCGGTGCAACGTCATTTGGTCAGACGTCATCAACTAAACAGAATAAGCTTCCATGCGAGTAAGAAGAAGCATCATGATCGCAGGATGTGTTGAATTCAACTATTTCCATGTAATCTCATCAGCTGTTT